ACAGAGATCCGCCTGCCTCTGCCTCCCAAGTGCTGGGATTAAAGGCGTGCGCCACCACCGCCCGGCTAAGTCAACTCTTTTAATTGGTTCCCTTTTCTCCTTGTAGGGAAAAGTAATAGAACCTCTGAAAGATTTTCATAAAGATGAAGTGAGGATTTTAGGCAGAGAGCTTGACCTGCCCGAAGAATTGGTCTCCAGGCATCCTTTTCCAGGTAAAAACACACTTAGGTTTTGTTTGTTTGTAGACCTTGTGGATTTAGTTCAGGCCACTGAATTGTTTGTCTTTTTAGGGACTACGTGACATGACAAGGGAACAAATTCTTTCAAGTGCCTACTATATTTATGCCAGTACATGACTCGTTCTCTTTTGTGTTTGTGTTTAGATACTGTATGATTCCTGGGAGTCGGGCATGTAACGTTGCTGTCAGATGAGGGGGTGGAACATAGAGATTTTAATAACATTTCTATATAATTCTCAGTTGTAGATTAGGGTTCTTATACCGGAAATACTGTGTGTATATATCATGTATTCCATGGAAAGAAGAGAGAATTAAAACTTATGTCCCTCCTCACCTGCCTTTTAAAGATAGTCTCTTAAAAAAAGAATATGTTCTATTAAAAAACGTTGTATTCCCCTCCCCCTTACCCCCCAAGTTCTTGGGTGGCCTGGACTCAGGCGTTTCCCTACCTCAGCCTCATGTAGACACTGCCAACTCCTTTCTCTTAAGTTTTCTTAAGTACATCTTGTTGAATGGAAGAACTATTTCATTCAAATGTAAAGCACTCTTTGCACTGTGTTTGTTCTATGTAACTAATTCATGGACATCAAGAAAGTTAGTTATTTGCTATACTAGAAAAAATAGTGATATTTAAAGGTAGCATTATGACTCTTGATCTGTTTTATTTTGAGATGGTTTAAGATGCAAACCTGTTTTAGCTCTCTGTAATAGGTGATAGAAGAATGGTCTAATTAAAAACATAGTAATAATACCCCAGCATGGAGGCACATTCCTTCAATCCCAGGACTTGGGAGGCAGAGACAGACAGATCTCTATGAATTGAAGGATAACCTGGTTTACGTACCAAGTTGTAGACTAGTTAGGTCCATGTAGTAAGATCCAGTCAAAAAATAAGGGCTAGCATTTTGGAAGTACTGTGTGATGTGACACACACCGCAAAATGTTCTTAAAATACTGTCTTATTTGATCCTCTCACACACATGAAAATAATAATCTTGTTTTATGGATAAGAAAACTTACGTATGAGGTTGGTTCCAAAAGTGAGGCAGAAAACACCATTTTAGAGTTTTTACTCTTAACTGCCACATTGCCTTCATAAAACAATGTTAGAAATAATTAGCACTTGATAGAAAAATCTAGTAATTTAGATCTTTAGTCCCTAAGTGTATGGTGGCAGAAGATGGTGGGTGCAAGTTGGCCCTGTGCCTTTGGTCATCATTTTAGGTAGGCTTATGTAATAATATTTTTTTTTAATCAGGTGAAATTTCACTGGCAAACACATTTTAGCTGCTTTAAAAACTAATCTTGTTGTTTATTCTAAAACTAGGAATGAGAGTGAGGGTAACTAATGGAATATGGCTTACATTTTGCTTATAGACATCTCAAGTGACTTTTCCCATGTTGTGTAGCAAAGCAACAGAATTTGTGCATGCCTTTTTTATTCTTTTTTTTTTAGTTTTTTTTGTAAGATTCATTTTTTTTCATGTGTTCTGCCTGCATGTATGTGTGTGTGCACCATGGGCATGCCAGGTGCCTAAAGAAGTCAGAAGAGGCATCAGAGTCCCTGGATGCTAGGAACTGAAATCCAGTCCTCTAAAGAGCAATAATACTTTAACTGCTGAGCTGTCTCTGCACTCTGCCTGCCATCCATCCATCCATCCATCCATCCATCCATCCATCCATCCATCCATCCATCCATTTAATGGCTTGCATAATTGATAACTAGAAGTGGTAGCTCATATCTTGGCATTAAGCAATATTTTCACTTTTTAAAACAAAATTTAAATAGCATATGAGTTAAGGTGCTTCATTATTTTTGTTTACATTTGTATATGATGGAATATTCCCTTAATAAGGAGATTTTCAGCAAATTACCATATTAGTGTTAATGAAAATATTTCCTGGTGAAAATTTTTGTGAGAATATATAGGTTAGGAAATTGAGATGAGGAAATTAATACAACACTTAAAATTAAATGCTTTGTGTGTATTTGTTTGGTTTAGTTTGAGATTAAACCCCAGGTCCTTGTACATCCTAAACATTGGCTTGATTAAAGAACTACATTCTGAGCCTTGAAATTTAGTGCTAGGAGTCAATTAAAATTAAATATCTTGTGTTTATTTAAAGGGTTTTATGTTTTAGAGTTAGTGTCCATTTTCTATTAAAATTGTAATTATAAAGTTTATGCTCAAAATTGTTGTTCTGTAGGTCCTGGCCTGGCAATCAGAGTAATATGTGCTGAAGAACCCTATATTTGTAAAGATTTTCCTGAAACCAACAATATTTTGAAAATAGTAGCTGATTTTTCTGCAAGTGTTAAGAAGGTAATAACTGACTTGACATATCTAATCAATACAAAGAACAAAGTAGATGGCTGTTAATATTCTTGCTTTAAAATGAATTTGTTTTTGAAAATTCAAAACAATACTTACTTGTAGTGACTGTGTAGAAAGCATGACATGACTACTAGGAAGATCTGTCTGTTTAACCAAAGAAGACTTCATATCCCCTGTCCTCAAAAGCTCTTGGGACCCTTTTCCTCCTACTTAACCCAGCCCTGATATGAGTCACTATTCTTACTGTGAGACTTAAGAGTTTTAACTCTTGGGCTGAAGGCAATAAACCTGGTAAGCAGAGTATAAAGTACACAGCACAATAAACATAAATGACTAAACATGGAGGCTCAGAGGTTATATGGGCTGCTTTCCCAAAGGACCTGGGTTCAATTCTCAGCAAGGGTTTGTGCCTAGTCGTACTGTAACCTCTTATGTTCTTTCTAAGGGAAACGGAGGAGGAGTGGATCTAGGGGAGAGGAGAAGGTGGTGGGGAGACTGGGAGAAGTGGAGAGAGGTGAAACTTTGGTTGGGATGTATTGTATGAGAGAGAATAAAAACAGAAAACAAACCAAAAGCAAGGTGCTCAGTGCTTAGAGGGTTGACTATGGTGCAGCTAAGCTGTCATCAAAACTAGAGCAAATAGTCATTTCTAGATGAGAGCTTTCACTACCAATAGCCCTTGACTTGAGAAATTGAAGGCATTGCTTTTTCTTAATGTTCTGAAGGAGATGAGAATTTTTTGTTCTTTTTATTCCTTTTTTAAAAATAAGCTTTATTTAAAAAATGAAGTCTGTGACAATTAGAAAAACAAATTAACTTTATGTATTTTTTGATTACTTGTGTCTATTACCTGCGTTCAGTCCTTCCTCATCTCTAGTATTTGGAGCAGAGAACAAGAAAGCCTGAGTATAAATACTAATTGTTTTATCAGACATAGTCATGTTCCTCTACCTCATTTTCCCAAGTGCTAGGACTCCAGGTGTGTGCCACATCTGGCTTGAAGGGAGCTTTTGAAGTGTCTGCTTGCTCATCTCTAGGATTTCTGACCTTGTTAGTCTGGGGTGTGTAGCTGTGGTTGAGAAGTACTGCTAAGGCACTGGCTGTAGGCAAAGCGGTGAGCTAGAAGATCTTCAATGTACAAGAGGGACTGGTGAGCAAAGTTATAAATGAGTGAAGTGGACACATACATGGACTTCATAAAATAGTTAACTACAGTAATATATTTATTACTGTTTAGAACCTAACAAAATATAAAGCATTAAAAACAATTGTATTGCCAAAAGGATAGAAAGGTTAATTCTTTTTCAGTCACCATGTTCATACTTAAAGGGAACTGTATGAATAGAAATCAAGTATTTAACTTCAAACCAATAATGAGAAATAAATGAGTTGGGAGAATCACCAGTTCAAAAGAGAACAAAGGGGGAAAATAATACAAAATGGGAAAAAATGGGTGATAGAAAAGTAAAAATCTCAGCGTATATAAATTTAATTTATATTTCTTATCCCAGAAATTTCTGGTGTAGTATGTAGCACACAGCACATACTGCATGGTATGCTGTTAAAATCTAATTGGTATAAGTACATAAGACTATGAAGGACTTATTTCTTACAACATGAAAAATGTCTGTTTGGTTTTCTCAGCCTCATACACTATTACAAAGAGTCAAAGCCTGCACGACAGAAGAGGACCAGGAGAAGCTAATGCAAATTACCAGTTTGCATTCGTTGAATGCTTTCTTGCTGCCAATTAAAACTGTGGGTGTGCAGGTGAGTTAAGTGAGTTCCCTCACTAGGATGGAACTTCCTGCTGCTTGTCTTCACAAAGTTTGAATTTGGAGTTACTTTGGAAAATTAATTGTGAAATTATATTCCAGGTTTAGAAAGATAAAAAAAGTTTTATATGTGGTTATGGAGTGAATGAGCTTTTAAGAACTGAATGCTTACGCCAAGATTTTGTAGTTTTAGAACTTTTTTTTCCCTTCCCACCTCTAACCAAAAGTAAAACTTTCAGAGAACCATTTACTTCATGGTTGGCTGGTTTATTTCTCTTTGAGAAGCAGGACCAAAAGGTCAGGTGCTTATTTATTATCTGTACACTTAGGAGATCTGCTGTGGCTTGAGAAGCCTTTCTTTAGCTGCAAGAAGGCATCAGATGGATATGTACATGTTTAGCTTGTGGTCTACAAGCCTATGTGATTAGACTGACTAAAACAACACAAAAACATAATCTTACTTAAAGCACTGAGATTTTACTATGTTTTTTTTTAAAGTTATTTTTAATTTTTGTGTATGTGTACACACTGATTTATTACAGTGTGTGTGTGTGTAGATGAACTTTTGGCTGTCAGTTCTCTCTTTCTGTATTGTGGAGCAGGGTCTGTTGTTTCTGCCACATTTCATACAGGACCGCGGACTGTGAGCCGAGTGATTCTCCTTTCTCTGCTTCCCATCCCCCATAGGAGTACTTAGATTGCACATGCATCCTGCCATATTTCTTCATGTGACATGGATTCCAGGGCTTGAGCTGAGGTGGTTAGGCTTGTGTGGTGACCTGTCTCAGCTGCCTGTGCTTTTGTTGTAATTTAATTGTCTGTAATTTGAATCTTTGTCGATGACTGCTCTTGTGCTGCAGTGTCAGAGGCTGGATATGCCTGAATGTTCTAAGGTGATCGAAGATTATATAGGCCCAATATCATCTCATCTTTGATGTGGCATCTCATTAGCAGTGATCCATAGCTTTTTAAGTTACTTTTCTGCCTTTCTAGTTGTAAAAGCATGTGAGAATAATTGTAGTTTGGTTTTAGAATGCTGTTCATGAAATGACCACATTAAGTCTGACATGACCCTTCAGGAAGTTTCTGGTCATAAGAAGCTAAAGAAGCCTTCTGTGCTGTAATTTGCTCAGTGAAAACTAGAAAAATAGCAGTAGCTCAAAATAGTGCTTTCCTCCTTTTAGTTTTCCATTGTGTGCAGAGGGCCATCCTCATCAGCAGGAATCACAGCAGAGGGTATGGTTTCATTCAAGATGGTTGCCATTGTGCTGACCAAGCTCTTAATAGTGTCCTTTTATAGTAGAATTATTTATAGGAACATATTATTTTACTGTTTTGTCTAATGCTAAAACACACGCTGTCTTAAATGCATTGGTCTGCATTTTAAATTCTTCTTCCTTTATTGAAATCCGTGTATAGTTGTTTTCATATTGAGCATGGTGGCTCAGGTAGAAAAGCGTATGCTGTCAAGTCTAATGATGAATTCAAACCCTGCAATCCAAATGGTCAAAGAGAAGAACCAACCCACTCCTGAGAGCTGTGTTCACATGCAGATAAACACGGACAGAGCTAACTTGTTAGAGCTGATGAGCCAGTTTGGGTTGCAGAACACTTGTCTAGTTTTCCTTTCTTTTAAAAGGCTGCACCTGTACCTTAATGTTTTTAAATGTCTATGAAGTATTCTTGGAAATTGTGTGACTGATTTTTTTTACCCCCAGTGGCTTATGGATAGATTTATCATACATAGGTTTATATTTGAGGTTTTCTCTGATATTTACAGGCAAATGCCTGAAATATACAAGTAAAAGTGTAGACAGGTTTTTCTTTAAACTTTTCTCAGTTCTTCTGTGACACGTGGTGTTCTTTCTCAACACAGTTAACAATAGTAGTAAAAATTTACATTTCTAAGCAAGTCTACTCAAGAACCTTAAGGATTTGCAACTCCTGCTAGATAGGGTATTGAGTTAAAATAGTTATCCATTATGATTTTTTCAAAGAAGTTTTTAATACTCATTTGAGGCATTTGCTTGATGACTGATTTCTTTTAAAAAATTATTTAATATGTGTGGGTGTTTTGCATGCATATATGTCTATACTGTTTGAAATCAGTATCCTCGAAGGTCGGTAGAGGGAGTTGGATTCCCCTGGAACTGGAGTTACAGATGGTTGTTAGCTACATGTGGGTGTGGAAACTGAACCTGGGTCCTTTGCAATAGCAGCCAGTGCTCTTTAACCACCGAACCGTCTCTCCAGTCCTTATTTCTGTTTTGAAATGAAACTTAACTGGGTATGATGGTTCATGCCTGAGATCCCAGCACTTGAAAAGCTGAGGCAGGAGGATTGCCATGAATTTGAAGCTCATCTGGGCTACAAATTTAGATTGTTTCAATAACAATCTCCCCCAACCCCCCCCTCAAAAAAAAAAAAAAAAGAAAAGAAAATTTACTCAGGTTCTTCCAATGTTTTGTTTTGGTTTTGTTTTTTTTCGAGACAGGGTTTTTCTGTGTAGTTTTGGTGCCTGCCTTGGATCTCGCTCTGTAGACCAGGCTGGCCTCGAATTCGCAGAGATCTGCTTGGCTCTGCCTCCTGAGTGCTGGAATTAAAGGTGTGCGCCACTGCCTGGCCTCTAATATTCTTGAAGTTAAGTTGCCTTAGTTATTAGCTACCCAGTGTTATTGTTCAAGTAACCTTACAGGCCCAGATAAGTCACATGTTATGATTATTCTGGCATAGGTCTAATTTTTTTCTAAATGCCAAAGTAAACTGTCCTTGTAAAAATGTAAATACATTTTAAAAAACTTGTGTATTTTGGCTACTGAGATATTGTGTATGTGCCTTAGTTTCATACATTCTGCAAAATGTCATTGTTTCATTCTTCGTTATAGTGGAATAAAATTCCATATTGTGTAAGTATCAATTATCTATCCTTTCATCATATGGGTTACTTCTGTACTTGGCTATTGTGCATTATAGAGCAGTAAATGTTGTGTGAATATCTCTGTGGTATTGTTGAGACACGGTTTCTCTGTGTAGTCCTGGAATTTACTTATAGATCAGGCTGGCCTTGAACTCATTTAGATCTCCCTTCCTCTGCCTCCTGAGTGCTGGGACTAAAGGTGTGCACCACTCACTCCAGGATCTTAATATAGTTTCAAAAGTTGGGTTTACCTGATAGCAGAGGATGTTGAACACCTTTTTGGATATTTACTAGTGATTGTAATTTTCTGAAAATTGAATTCAGTAACTCATTTATTTAATGGCTGATTTGTGTGTGTGTGTGTGTCGGGAGGGGGGGGTTGTACTTAAGATTTTCTACCCCATTCCATGTTATTCATACTACTTAATTGTTTCCTATACTGTATAAAAGCTTTTAAATGTAATGCAGTCCTATTTGTCATTTCGTGCGCATTATTGCTCATGTGTTGGAGTCCTATTCAGGAAGTTCTTTACTGTCCATGTAGCCACTTTGACAGGATTAATTTGCAAGCCTGTGCACATGGATGATCTTTCCACCTGTTAGTGTCATCTGTTTCTTTGTTCTCTTCATTCTCATTGTGGATGTCCTTTATATTCCTGCTTTGTTGTGTTCCTAGGTATTTATGCTCTTTTGGAGTTACTGTGAATGGGTCAGTATTGTCATCTCCATGGCCCAACTCCCTATCCCTGATTTTTTAGTCAAGAAGTTTATTATATATAAAAAAGCTACTGATTTAATGTGTTGGTTTTATATCCTATTACTCTGCTGAAAGTTATCAGATCTGATAGTATTCCAGTAATCTTATGGTCTTTTCAGTATTGGGTCATGTCATTTGCAGGTAAGGATAATTTGAGTTCTTCCTTTCATGTTTGTGTTCCTTTTATTTCTTTCTAGTGTCTTTGCTAGAGTTTTGCAATATGTCTTACTTTTCTATTGCTGTGAAGAGACACCAAGACCAAGGCAACTTATGTTAAAAAAAAAATGGACTTGCTTACAGTTTGAGGGAGTGAGTCCGTGACCATCACAGTGGAGAGCATGGTAGCAGGCATGGCCCTGGAGCAGTAACTAGCTAAAAGCTCACATTTCCTTCACATCCAGGAGGTAGAGAGAGACTGGGCCTGTCATGGGCTTTTGAAATCTATAAGCACATCTCTGTGGTGACACACCTCCTAGTCTTTTCCAAAACAGTTCCTTCAATTAGGAACCGAGCATTCAAATACATGAGTCTAGGGGTATGGGGGTTGTTCTCATTCAAACCACCGTATCATATATAAATTTTATTTCAATGAGGTATATTCCTTCTATTCCTAGTCTCTTTTCAGAGATCATGAAGGGATTCTTTGTTAAAAATTAAGATTTTTCTATATAAGTTTAAGATAATCATGTGATTTCTGTTCTTAGGTTTGTCTCTTGATCTTATGTCTAATAGTTGCTTAACATTGTCATGCTCTTTTTTATTTCTTTATTGGTGTTTGAATATAATACTTCTCAGGCTTGTCCACCTTCTCTCTTATTCTGCTTGGCTGAATCTGTTTGGAATACTTTGTGCTGTGTCTTTTATTTGATTGAGTTTGTCATTACCATCATTTCTAGTTTGTTTTCAGATCGTTTCCTTATTGAATATTTCTTCTTTACTGCTGACTTCTTCGTTCATTTTCCTGGCTTCTTCCTCTATGTTGAGCACTTTCCCCGCCTCGAGATGGAATTCAATCAGCATGTCTTGAGGTCATTGATCATTTATTAGTTGATTTTGAGATCTTCATCTGGCATTTCACCTCTTTCAGTACCTTTGTGTTCAGCAGGTGGGGAGTCTGGATCTTTTTGGAAGACTCGTGTGCCTTTCTCATATTTCTTGCCTCTCTGTGTTGTATTTATATATGTGTGTGTTGGTTTGGCATTTCTTCTTACTGGACAGCCTCATTTGTTTTTGTTTCATTTTGTCTTTTTTTTTTTTTTTCTTTTTTGGAGGTTGGGGGATGAAGAGATTCATAAAGTCCAGGCTGGCCTTAGACTCTATATGCAATGGAGGCTGTACTTGAACTTGCCATCTCTTACCTCTACTTGCAAATGCTGGGATTACAAGCAAGTGCCAGCACACTTGGTTGAGCAACCTACTCTTGAGGGCTTAGTACCACTTAGAGAAGAAAACAAACTGCTTTATGAGTTTTAACATCAAATGATACAGTACATAAAAGTATATTTAAAATTGAGTAAAGCCCATTAATATTTCACCAATGATGGTAAAAAGGAAAAAATGGCAAAACTACTGTATAGTATGCAATGGAATTAAAAATCATTTATGGTAAAGGAAAAATAGTGAATGAGATAAAAAGAGGAGGAAAGGAGGAAAACAGAAGAAGTATGGTTAAATAAAAGGAATAAGAAATGGAGAAGAATGCACAAGAGATTATTTCAAAAAACTAGCAGAGAAAAACCAAGAATAGATTTCCTAATAGTGAGGGAAAAGATGCGTGACCAATTTTATATAACTAGGAGGGGAATTAAAACAACAACAAAAAACAAGCAAACAAAAACAAAAGACAGCTGTGCTGGGATTATCCCCTCCTTTAATCCAAATCTCTTGAGTTTGAGGCCAGCCTGGTCCTCACACAGAGAGTCCCAGGACAGCCAAATCTACATTTGGAAGAAAAAGCATAAAAGCAAAGGAAAAACAAGCCCCGAACCACAGTGAAACAAGGTCAGAATAACTACTATAAAACGGGCAGCAAATATAGAAGAAACATCTCTCTTTTTGTGGTGCCTCCTACGCAGTTGGCTGTATCAAGATGAATGAAGCTGAATATCCTTCCCTGCCACTGGCTGTCAGAAACTCATTCAGGTGGAGATGAATGCAAACTTCATGCATTCTGTGAGAAGCACATGGCCATAGAGCAGCTGCTGATGCTCTGGGTGAAGAGCAGAAGGGTTCCGTGGACTGAATCCGTTGTGGGAGTGACAGATAAGGGACTTTCATGAAGCAGGTTGTCTTGACCCATAGCAGAGTGTGCCAGCTGTTGAGTAAGAGGCATTCTTGTTATAGACGAAGGAGAACTGGAGAGGAAGTGCAAGCCTGTTTGAGGATGCATTGTCGATGCTAGTCGAGAGAGAGAGAGAGAGAGAGAGAGAGAGAGAGAGAGAGAGAGAGAGAGAGAGAACGAGTGGGGGAGATATAGAAAATGTGTGCTTTTGCTGAGACTTTCTGCAACTCATTTTGATTTTCAAAATAGCTTCCATTTATGAAGTGTGTGTGTGTGTGAGGGAGGGAAGGAGATGCTGAGAGAGAGAGAGAGAGAGAGAGAGAGAGAGAGAGAGAGAGAGAGAGAACACGAGTGAACGAGTGAAGGATATTCCTGGACTGACAGATACTATTGTGCCTTGGTGGTTAGGTCCCAAAAGAGCTAGCAGGATCCAAAAGTTCTTCAATCTCTCTAAAGATGATGTTTGCCAATATTTTGTCAGAAGACCTTTAAACAAAGAAGATAAAAAGCCCAGGACCAAAGCGCCTGAAATTTATCCTCTTATTACTGCGTGTGTCCTACAACATGACTGCTGATGTACTGCTCTGAAGAAACAGTGTACTAAGAAAAATGAGGAGGCTGCAGAATATGCTAAACTTTTCACTAAGAGTGAAGGAAGCCAAAGAAAAAGGCCAGGAACAGATTATAATAAGAGATGTAGCCTGTCCTTCACTGAAGATCTTCTACTTCTAAGACTGAGTCCAGTTAAAAACAAGTGTTTAAAAGGAACAAATAAATAATCACTCTTTGAAAAAAAATAGTACTAAAAAAAAAAAAAAACCTACTGAAATGTAGTAGAAAGAAAAGGGAAGCACCAGGGTGGGCAAACTTTAAAAAGAAAAAAAAAAGAAGCTGGGAAGATGACTCAGTGACCAAGAACACTTGCTGCTCTTGCAGGGGACCTCAGCAAATCCTATGTCAGGCTATTCAAAATGCCCTATAACTCTAGCTTCAGGGTATCTGTGGCCTCTGGACAACCCCCCCACCCCAAAGCAAATCATTTTAGAAAGATAAAGTATTGGATCCGTCTTATTTTCAGCTTGGAGAAGGGCAGTTGCACACAGGAGGTGGAGCATCGAAGCATGTGTTCTGTGTCTCCTGTTGTCAAGCAGGTGTGGTAGTCAAATATGCAATGTCAGCCAGAGCTGCCCCCCTTCAGGGGCTTCCTTTTGTAGTACCAACTAAACCTTGCAATTGGTGTAGGCCCCTCCCCCCAAACCCTCCTTAGATTCTTCATTGTACGTTCTAGGGTGTCCTTTGCTCTCTTTGGGGTTATTTCTCAAGTACAGATCTGTGCTGTGGAGTACTGCCTTCCTGCCACCAAACCCAGCTACTGCCAAGTTTTGATGCATGTACACATTGTATTACCACATTTAAGTCTGCTCTTGAAACATTTAAATTTACTACTGCTATGTATTCAAATTATTCAGCATTAACTTTGTAACTTTATATCCTTGATCTACCCATCCTCATCTGTCTTGCACCCCCTGAATCCCTTATTCAGTTTTTGATAACTACTCCCAATTCCATAAGATAAACATTTTAAGATTCATCAAGTGTCACCCTGTGATACTTATTATCTTTTTGTGCCCATCTTCATGTAAGTGGAGATCTCTAGTTCTACCCTTATTGTTACAAGGGAAAGGATTTCATCTTTTCAATGGCTGAATAGCATTTCATTGTACATATGTTATCTTCTTAATCAGTTTGATTGAATACTTAAGTTGTTTCCATTATGTTTATTTATAAGTCAATACTTTAAGTTTATTTTTTAGAAAAAGACTTATTTAGCCAATGGATAAATATAAATGTGGATGGTAGATCTATCTACCAAACTGAATGTACTTGTTTGCCTTAGTTGGGCAGCAATTTGGAATGACATCCAAGTGGACCTCTGGTGTGTTTCATATAAATTCTTGAAATGTCCATGAGAGTTCCTTTATTACTGAATTGATCCATATGGGTTTTAATAAAGGGTGTTTTAATTTGTGACTTAACTTGTATCACTAGATGAATACCTAGGATATACTTTTCAGATATATTTTAAAAAGAAGAAGACAAATTACTACTAATAGTGTCACTGAAGAAAATTTTCTGACCCATCTTTTGACTTAACTGTTAAAATTGATTACATTTCTTTTTTTCAGGGTGACTGTCGTTCCTACAGTTATGTGTGTGGAATTTCCAGTAAAGATGAACCTGACTGGGAATCTCTTATGTTCCTTGCCAAGCTTATACCCCGAATGTGTCATAACATTAACAGGTACATTCTACAGGTATTTTAAGGTCTTTGGTTAATGAAAGGCTACAGGGCTTAATTGTACATGTATATAAGAGATAATAGATGATTGATTCTGTAGTGAGCAGCTGTTTGTAATTATGTACCTTGGTTAATTTTCTTGGTTAGGGGAATACTTAATATTCCATATTTTGGTCCTTCATCACAGTACAATTATTTTGCTTATTTAAGAAAAATATTTAAAGAATAAACAATTTGGGGGGCTTGCTAGATGGCTCAGTGGGGAAAGGTACTCGCCACTAAGCAAATGACCTGAGTTTGATCCCTGGAACTCTCTTGGTAAAAGGAGAGAAGAAACTTTCACAGGTAATCCTCTAACTTCCATATGTGATATGACATATGTATCTGAAAAAATAATTCTTTTTAAAGATAGCTATGCTGGCTAGTTTATTATATCAATTTGACCCAAGTTAGTCATTTGGGAAGAGGGACTTTGAATTGGCAAGCCTATATTGATTTTTCTTAATTAGTGATTGATGTGGGAGGGCCCAGCCCATTGAGGGGCTGCCTTTGGGCTGGGGATCCTGGGTGCTGTAAAACAGGGGACTGAGCAAGCCAGAAAGTAATGTTCTTCCATGGCCTCTGCATCACTTACTGGATTCCAGGTTTCATCTCTGCTTGAGTTCTTGCCCTGCCTTCTTTTGATGATGGACTGTTGCCTGGTAGTATAAGAAATAAACCCTTTCCTCCCTAAGTTGTCATTAGTTACGGTGTTTTATCATAGTATTAGAAACACTAACAAGAACAGCAGCAGATTGGTGCATCTGTGGGCTAGAGAACGGCTTTGGGCCAGTATGGTTGTGGCTTTTGGAAAAGGTAATTAAAATTGAATAATGTTGAGAAAGGCGATAAAGTTTTTGTTTAGAATTGTGCCCAGTGCTGCACTGTGGGAAAGGGAGGGAAGCATAAGACTAGATGGAATCTCCATGGTCTGTGGTTAGGAGACACGTCAGGCCACGGGATTCTCTTACACAGATGAAGGATCTGGAATTCCAGCAGTGTATCCTTGGAACAGGAGAGGGAGAAAATGCAGATTTAACAGCTTATCTTTAAAAAGGCTACTAATGATTAATAAATACTGCCTGTTTATTACAAAACAAATATTGTGTGTCTTTTAATGTTTACCATAATGTTGTTGTTTCAGAGCTTAAAAAGCTTACAGAAAGTTTTTATTTGACAGTCTAGAGGTCAGTGAAATTGACTTGTAATAAAGTGAATGTGGTCTCTCAAAGTAGCAATCCTACTTCCATCACTCCAGTCGTTGCTTCTCTTTGTAAGATAGGGCTGGACTTAACTCCTGATGCTCACCTCCTCACAGTGGTGAGGGTGCTCCCTCAGAGATTGGGTAACACTTAGTTTTATGTCATGGGTTATGTCTGTATGCTTACTAATCCCTGGGGAAGTCTCACTGTTTCAGAACCAAGCAGGACTCCCCTGTGTGTCTGTCTGAGCATTAGCCTCTCACAGGCAGTGGTTCAAGGTGAAGTAGTGTCCATCTGTATTATTCTTAACTATGCCAATTAATTAGAATCCCCTGAATTCAAAGTGCTTCCTCTTACAGAAAGGCAGTTTAATGTGGTTTGTCAATAATATCAAATAAAGAATATTTAACATTTTTTACTAAAAAATTCATTTATTGTCAGAAGTGCTGATTAAATCTTATTGCAGAGTTGTCTCTTTCCAGTTATTTTCATGAATATTATTTGCTTAACCAACAATAGTTGATAAAGACTTCTTTTGTCTTTTGTTTACTATAGAAACTTGAAATGTACCCGTTAGTGTTAATTCAGAATGGTTGGTGTGTTCAAGCCCAGGAGAGAGTTGGGAAAGCCAGACTTCCAAATCTACAGGAACATGCCACCCTGAACTGTACTGAGGTGAACCAGAGTTCCAAGACAATTTTTCACCTATGTTTTCTCTGATGTGTTTCCATCTAGAGTTGTCTATATTTTTGGCCCACCAGTTAAAGAACCTCCTACAGATGTCACTCCCACTTTCTTGACAACGGGGGTGCTCAGTACTTTACGCCAAGCTGACTTTGAGGCCCATAACATTCTCAGGGAGTCTGGTAAGTGGCTCGTCCTCTTTATCACTGCACACTACAACAAGATTTTTCAGATGTTTGCCCTTAATTTCTAGCAGTAGGATGTAGCTCTTGCTTTTTGTTATAGGAGGTTCCATAATACTGCTTTTCAAATAAAATTAGTTTATCTTTGTGGCCATTTACAGACACCCAGAGTAGCAAAAAATGTGCGTAGCCATGCTTGTGTTGAGAGCGGCTGAGGTGGACTACAGCAGTACTCTTCTTGTTTCAGCTTGCAGACAAGTGTTCTTGTCACTGTCTTGCTGTTGTATTTTCAACATTTGCAGGGTTGTTTGTTAATGATTTTGCTATTGAGAAATCATCCTGCAGTGTAATACTGAAGAGCTAGCTGGACCCCTGAACACGAGGAAGCTGTGGTATGCCTCATCTAAAGAACTATGTGTTAAATAAGTCAAGGCAGGTGTCATAGTCATTGATTGTGAGTTCAGTGTTGATAGATATAAAATAAATCTTAAATTAGGTGTCTATAAACAGAAATACACTTAAAGCTTGGTTTTACAGAGAGTAAAATTTGACCCACGGTTTATAGCTACCTATCCTTATATTTCACCTGGGAAAGTGGGCTGTCCCATTCTCCCACGTGCCAAGAGTACAGATGTGAACTACCACATCTACATAATAAAAGTCCTGTTGCATCCACTGTCAGTGCTGTATTTGAATTAGGTGTGTGATGAGTGTGTCTCAATGTGTGCAAGTGGTAGGAGGAGAGAGAGAGATGCTGGAGATTCTTTGTAGGGTTTCCTTGAGCTAGGTTAGAGTATTTCTCCAGAGTGTGGTGATGATAAGCACTGTATGTTCCTTTCTCTAGGGTATGCTGGGAAAATCAGCCAGATGCCAGTGATTTTGACCCCACTACATTTCGATCGAGATCCACTTCAGAAGCAGCCTTCATGCCAGAGATCTGTGGTTATTCGAACCTTTATTACTAGTGACTTCATGACTGGTATACCTGCAACACCTGGCAATGAGATTCCTGTAGAGGTAATTTATGTTACTTCCAATATTTACATCAATGCCTCATACATTACGTAGTACAGTGATACAAATAGGCTGTGACAAAGTTTATGTTTTTAGGATTGATTTTTGTAAAATAGATTCTCTCATTTTTCCTTTCTGTCTCTACTTATTTATTTATTATTTAATACAGTGTAGCTGAAAGGGACTTTACATCTAATACAGCTTCCAGATGTATGCTTATTTTGGTTACTACATGGAAAGTAACCTAGTCCTGCTGACTTTTAGTTGCTATAAATAGTTTTCTTATATAAAGGACATAATCCTAGGAGTGGAGATGAGTTGGTTTTTTTAAGAAACAAGAATGAGATTTGATGGTATTAACAATTATTTTCTTTATTTAAAGATGGAGTCTTATGTATCTTGGGCTGTAAAGATGGGAGTCTTATGTATCTTGAGCTGTTCTTGAACTTCTAGCTGAGGATAACCTTGAACCTCTGAGGGATAACTTTGAACTTCTGATTCTCCTGCCTTCTCCTAAGTGCTGGGTTCTAGGAATGTGCTACCTTGTGGGTGATTGAATCCAGGGTCTTGTGCATGCTAGATAAACACTGTAGCAATTGAACCCTACGATTCTATTTTTTCACCACTTTCCTTGTCTTTCCACCAAAGTGTTCCAAGGGAGTTATTTATATAGCAGCAGTGAAAAGTTGAACTGAGACTTTAATTAGTTGAGCTGTTCTCTAGTGCTCTAGTGTGTTAGGCAGGGTCTTGCTGGATGGCTGGTTGGGGAATGTTTAGCATCTGTTTTTCTTATGGCCCATTTTGTCAGATCTTCAAGGCAGTCAAGGGATCAAGCTGTCTTTGACAAAGGATATTATAGAGTGCTTCGTGTGACATTTGGTAGTGTTGGAATTATTTGTTATACAGTGACATTGCTTGGATGCTGCTGCCATGTCAACACTTTGAGGAGTACTGACTTTAAGTCACTGTACCTATAGAGAGAAATAATCTACGTTTAATCAAAGCTGTCCCTCTTAAATGGAGAATGATAACCAAAATAGTTCCTTTAAATTTTAAGGTACAAGAATAAGCCCTTTAGGATTATTGAATCATATTATTATTATTATTATTATTATTATTATTATTAATCATTCTTTCTTGTAATCTTTGTTTTGTAAACAGGTGGTATTAAAGATGGTCACTGAGATAAAGAAGATTCCTGGAATTTCTAGAATTATGTATGACCTAACGTCAAAGCCCCCGGGAACCACTGAGTGGGAGTAATAAATGTGTTATTGTTGAAGAAGTGTGTGCAGTTGAGGCTCATTAGAAACCACTTGTTAATGACATGCAGTGCTGTGAACAATGTTGCTGAAGCAGCTCCTTCATATCTGAGTTCTCATAGCAGCGATACATGGCTTAAGTGCTGAGAGGGCATGATTAAAGGGAATGAAGAGTTTGTATGTGTGGGTAAATAATCAAGGCCCCATTGCACATGCAGACAGATTGCTTGCTTCTGCCTCACTCTCTTATGAACTCTTGATGTCTGTCTATGACGATAGGTGGCTGTGGCTTCTGTCTACTTGCTATTAGAAACATCCTTTAATTACCATTATGGCTTACTATGTGTGCCTTTTGGAGAATCCGAATTTTCCTGTAAGTAATTTTATTTCTCCAAAGGGCAAGGAAGAGCTGTACATACCATAGAAAGGAATAAGAAAGCTGTTTAGACACTTTTAGGCAGGATACTAGGGAAGTAAAATGTAAGATTCTTCCACGATGTAGAACACCAGGAATTTATCATGGAAGTTCTTAGAGTGTGACTATGTTGTCACAGCCATGGCAGGAAGGACCTGAGTGCTGTCAGCCTTTCAAACCATGTTTCATACAGATGCCATGCTTTTCACGTTCGTCTTGTTGATATAAACAAGGAGTTTATCCTCCAGCCTTGTGTCACTAGCTCCAGCAGCTGTGTAGAAGGAGTTTTTACTCTCTTCTCACAAGAGGCTTTCTCAAAAGGTTAAGATGAGAATGTGTTCTTTTTGTTTGCCTGGTCAGAGGACTCGGTCACAGAAGCCATGATCCATCCCTGCCACATCTAAGTGGGAGAGGAAATATTTCTATTACTTAGGAAAGAGCTGTAAATGACACCTAGATCTGCAGACAGGCTTATTGCTTCCTGCGCAGAAGTCTCAACTGATGTCAAGTATTTGCCAGCCCATTTTCTGCTGGCTTCTGGGGAGAGTTCAGGGCCAGTGCAGGACTTGGTGCCATTGCCAACAGTTCCTTACAGGTTCTTTATGACAGTCATGCAAGCCTGGGAAAGGCAGTAAAAAGACTCACTTTACCTCAGGTTGCTGTCTGTTGCCTAGTACCAATTTCTATTTGGGATTCAGTGTTAAATAAAACAAAAGGATATATAGCAGAAATCATCTTTCCTGGGTAGTCCAGAGGATAGCCAGAAACTACTGTTGAACCAAGAGGGAAAGGTCCCTCTGTAGCAGACATCCAGACCTGAACAAAGTATTTCCTTCTACAGAAGGTTAAGTGTTCCTTGTCTGTCCTGGTGAGGATGCTCTCCTGACGGACTTCTAAAAGGAGGATGTGATAGATTTAAGCAGATTGAGAGTTGTATTATTTCTGAATGGGAACTAACCTGTATAAAATGCTTACCAAGGTGTCAGTGCATGTTCGATACATAAAAACCCTTCCTGTTGTAGCAAAAATGTCTGTGGTATAAACAGCAGGAATTCGGAAGAATATATGAATGTTCTTTCCCTGAGGTCTGTTTTATGGCTCACTGTTTATTGCCATACTCTGTAAAACTGGTCATGTGGTTATATACATTTAGAAGTGCTGCTCACTTGTAGTCTTTGCATTCTGGACATTGCTGGTATATATGATCCTCAAATCTCAGACCTATTAGAATTAAAATGTATTTAGTGTTTTTCTAATGCATTCTCTTAAATGTCTTTTTATGTAATCCTTACTCTGGAAAAAATAACTTCTTCAAAACATACCTGCACATGACATAGAAACTTTCTGGGATTGAGAGATTATTTTCATCTTACTGTCTGTCTTCTTGTGTGGTCATTTTTGCCTTGTACTGTATTGCTTACTTGATAACGTCATAGTAGTTCATCTGAGCTGCTGAAAATCTTACAGTCAAGGAGACAGACTCATCTTGGAAATGGTTACCAGTGACTCTAAGAACCAACTGCCAGGTTTTCTTGGATGTTGCCATCCTTCTATTACATGTATTCCAGCCCTCAAATCATATGACCTTACAGGTTGCTCAGATAATCTATCTAAATGACAGGATTGTACTGTTTCTCCATCTTGGAGTAACTGTGTGCAACCATAAATCATAAAAGTTGATTTCCTTGCTTTGTTTGGATTTAGCTATTGATGGCCAGTTTCAATGAATAACTGAAGTCTACTTTATATTGAAAATAAGGATATTCAAGTGAAATAGGCAACACTGTCCATCTGGCTTTTTTGCCTTGCTGTTAAATAGATGGTGGACCTGGACAAGTCATGTTTAATCCATTTACCTCATCTTACGAAGTTCCAACATCAAACCAAACCCTGAATATTCATTCTTACTCTCCTTGAGACAGAATTTATGTAGCTCAGTCTCAGGTTCATCATGTATTAGAGGATGGCCTTGAATATCTGACCTTCCTCCACCTCCCTAGTGCTGGAATTAGAGGTATGTACTCCTGTGTCCAGTTTATGCTATACTGGTGATTGAACCCAGATCCATGTGTACGCTGGGCAAGCACCCTACCAACTGAGCCACATGCTTAGGTGCATTCTTAGTTATAAACAAGAAAGTGTAACAGGAGACAGTGGAGAAGCTGGATAGTTCTTATACTTTTAAAACCCACATTCACCGCCCCACCGCTGCCAGCTGAAGAACATACATACCATCAAGATTTGGTCGTGTCAGATACCTGAAAATGCTCATTACAGTGTTTGTGGACCAGTCTCTCTACTATGTTTTTAGAAGAGCTGCCAGAGTGTGTTTCAGCTTTGACAACAAATACTAGTCATAACTATTAGCTGTTGGCAGAGCAGGAGCTGGAATTCAGACTTTCTGATTCTGTGTTCAAGAGGTAGACTTTATCTCTGTACAGCTAATCGGATCAATGACTGTCATGGTATTGTCTCTCACAGGAGTTCTGGATGTCCCATTGCCTTTCAGAAATGTCACCATTTCTGACATTTCTCACTCCCAGTGTTCTGACTGCCTCTCACACTGTTCTCTCGCATGACACCCCCCCCCCCCACACACACACACAAACACACTCTTGTCTTTTCTCTGAGGATCTTCAGAGTGCTGTTGGAAGGCAAGCCTTCATGGTTACCCCAGTGGTATGTATTCTTTTAATTGGCCCAAGTCTAGATTTAACTGGAAACTGAGTACAGGTTCAGTGTTTTCGACCTGGGAATTCTCTCTTGTCTTGATTGAAGTAGCTGTACCAGATGGCAGAGGAAAACTCTTGTCACATGAGGCTTTCACCACAGTAATGGCTTTATGAACATTTAACAGCTAGATGAGGAGTTCCCAGAGTGTCAGGATGCTACCTTTCAACAGCAGACATGCTGTATACAGAAGTCATATCCCATGGAAATATTAACCTTAAGTGGATTCCATCCTCGGTTGCTGTTGCCTGAGGAATTAAAAAAACAGACAAAACTCAGATGTGACTAAATTAGAGTTGAATGGGGATGGTCCCCACCCCCAGTTTTAAGTTTCTCAGTGGGAAGACGTTACTTTAAGGGATATACCTGGCCTCTTGTTAGAGTTTAAACTCCTATTCAAGGTGAGGAATGAAGCCTGGAGAGTTTTGCTGATATCCACATTAACTAAGTTCAGGTCATGGGGCCACATTTTTTTGATTAATTGCATCCATGCTTCAGAAGTCAGCGTACTAGCCTGTGTAGGTAGGGAATCTGTCAGACAGCTGACATCTTGACCCACGTGAGAGTCGAACAACTGCATGGACTCACCCTCTGTTTTCCTACTCCTTTTCATTTTCTCTTGACAAGAAGGTGTCTACCCTGTGTTGTCGCCATCTCCGTTCCAAGACTCCTTTGTCATGAACTAAGACTGCTATTCCTGTGCCAGCTGAAGAAGCTTTAGGAGTGTGCCTTGTGATTAGCTGTTAGAACTAGAGATGCCTTCTCAGTTAGAGTCGTTTAACGGCACCGTCATAACTTATTTAAGGTCTTTGTTTCCTGTAAAACTTGTGGCAGCTTTGGGCCTTGTTTATAGTAAAGTCACAAGACTTTAGGGAGGCTGGTTATTTCTTTCATATGTTACATTCAGAAGCACCAAAATGAGTTGTTGAGAAACCTGAACCTCAGTAATCTAGTAGAGTCACATACCTTAAGTTAGTTTTGTCTTTACATTGACTGTGGTGACTATTACAACCTTGACATTTAGATGAAATGAATGTAAACATCCTCTGAACGTATTTTTTATAAAGCACTATTTTGTTAATTGAAATGAATAGTATAGTTTTTGTGAATCACTATGTAATTGTTAGTGACATGCTGCCATGTCTTTTATGTTGCAATGATTTGGCTATAAAATCAATTTGCTAAATTAATGTGAAATGACTAAAATTTCTTCTGTCTTCAGTGAAGTTCATAAAGGGGGAAATGATGATTTCATAATTTGTCACTAAGTCTTGGTGTTTATAAAAATGGGAAGCAAGAACAAAAAGAACAGGACATGTTCAGGTTGTCAAGAAATTGCATATATCATCAGGAGTTCTGGACAAGAAACTTAATCAACTTCCAATAAGTGTGTAGGGATATGTCAACATCTTGTTCAGTGTTAACAGTGGACACAAATCTTTGGGTAGCTTTTTAGTTAAATGAGCAGCTAAAGATGTATAGATGCATGTGTGCTTTTAAGATTCGCCATAAACATTGTGTTCTGAGTAGTCATGTAAGTCTTTAGTTTCTCAAAATATAGATTAGCCTTACTCATCTGTGTATTTATTTTGTAGTGCTGGGAGTCAGACCCAGTGTGTTTGGCCTGATAGACAAGCATTTGTCCACAGAGCTGCATCACCAATGCTGTGTTCTTTACTTGTCGGAACTGTGTTATGAGCGGTACAAACCCATGTCCTGTTAGAGATTAGAGGAAACCATGGGCAGAAACCATGAGCTCATGCTTGCTGCCAGCCACAGGGCTCTGCCTTGTTATTGCTCCAGTTAGTGACCTGGTATGGCCTTTTGTTGTCTCAGAAAATTAGTAAGTTCAACTATATTTTGGGAAGTTTTACT